CATCCGTATATTATTGTCTCACCGAGTGCATATATATATTCGAACTGTATGTACACATATGACAGACGGTTAAACCTTATGCATAGAAATAAGGAGATAGGGAGTGTGTGTGTGTGACTGAAGTGAAGTGAGATTTGATTGATGGAGTGCTAGAGAGTAAGCAAAAACACTTAAAAATCAACAAGTGTTAATGCAAAAATATTGAACACCATTGTGTAGTTGTGCTTATGTCTATTTGTATTTATTCAATTTAAACATATGTGATATTCTGTTGTTTAATATTTGCAGTTTCGAATTGAAAACTAATTTACATAATTTTGTAGAATTGAAATTAGAGAAAATTTGCAAAAAATCGATTTGTCCTTGTACAGATTTATAGGACTGAATGGAATGATGTAACATAGAAAAGTGGTAATAACTATACTATACATATTCAAAGGATGCATAAAATAAACCGATTCAATGATTCTATAAGATGTAGAAATGATAAGAATGATATTTTACATTGCAACAATAAAAATGACATTTTATCAGTTTACTATTAACTTAATCCAAGATACTTCTGAAGTTTTAATGAGAAGTCATGACTGATGAAGCTCAGATGTTGAAACAGTTGTTACCAACAGAATGTAAATATTGTCTATCTGTATTACATTGATTAGAATTGGAATTATACCGACTTAGTGGTTCTAATGGTCAAGTGTCTATTGCAAAAATTACCAAATCTGGATTCTATTCTCAATGGGGTTATTCAGGTACACTACTGAGCAGTCTCATACTAATACAAAATAGTTGTCTAGTGCTTTCTGGCTTTCAATAGTTCTCTAGTTGAAATCTGTCTGTGATTAATACAATCAACAACTTGTTAGCATCATAGCTAGTCGGTTAGTTAGTCATAAGAAAATAAGATCTGAGGTAAGGTTGTTGTTCCCATCTTTCCCATCGTTCCTATCATTCGATTGTTCCCATCTGTATTCGTGTTCATTACAATATCTTAACAAATGAATCAGTGAATAGGTATGCTCATATATATTGAAATACAGACTGATCTTTATTTGCTGAATATGATGTGTGGCGCATATATATTTGGTGCCCTCTTGTACCAATATTTATGTGTTCAAATAAATAATAAAATAATTTCTCATCAGTATAGCGACAGAGAAAATTAGTGAAACAAAATATAAATAAGCTGATTTAATAGAACAAATTAACTGGAAAAATGAAAGCTTTGGAATAAGACCATCAAATTTCAAATTATGGAGGGAGATGCAGAAAAGGAATGAATTCATATAATCCATTATGGTCATTTCAAACAAGTATCAGGTAAAGTTACACCATCAACTAAGTATTCAGAACGCATTAACACTGATCAGAACGACAGCTGTTGCTTTTGTTGACTGTTTTGATATTTTGCTCTGGCTACCTTAGCCTAATTCCTACTTCCATACTAACCAAGATATTACTTCTCGTAGACGATGGTTAAGAATGTGTAACACAAATCATATGTCTCAGTGGATGAAGGTTCATAGTATTATAAAAAAATTTATCAACATTACCCAGTTTCTTACACTTAACTTCAGCCTAAAAGGTTGCGCTATACGCGAAAAATGACTCGAAAACATTATTGAATACTAGCAACTTTTACGTGTTATCGATTTTCAAAGACTAGGTATCATAGTTATAAACTAAAGCACGGAAAACTATTACGCAGTAAAGTATCTGTTTGGTAATCTGTCAGACATTCTATCAGAATCATAGATAGTGTAGGCTAGCAAATTCCATTAGAATTTTGTATCCATATGAAGAATTCGTCAACCATCGAACCAATAAATAAATGAAATGAATATATATATATATACTCCACTTGTAAACATAACCATTTAGATTTTGGAAGCATGGTTTTTCACACAGCCTCTGGCTTCTTCCACTACATAGGTTATAGACTGAGTTGGGAACTTGATGTAACTGTATATATAAGTTCTATATAATAAATATTTTTGATAAACAGGCGAGACTATAATTTACGAACGAACCAATCACATATAAGATAACAGGTCTCGGGTTTTGGCGCGAAATTCACTCATTCATTCGAATAAATAGTTTTGTCATTATAGTTGATGTCATTTCAAGATGAAAACCCAAAATCTAATTTCTAACCTTAATCATCAACTGTAAGTCATAATTGTAATTCCTCATAGTGGTTTTTAACCATCATTTGGTTCTAGTTATTAGGTGGACACTCTCAAGGTCAGTTTAGCGTTGCTCAAAAGGTCGTCCATAATGTATAGTTTCACAGCAATTCGAAAAATTGCTTGTTTAATGAATACATAAATGACCTGTACATATAAATAATCGACAGAATTTTGCTTCAATGTTTAACTATTATATCAAACTATAGATAGATTGAGATAGATATAAATAAATATTAACTAACATATAAAATCAAAAGTTACCTTTTATAGCTTTCAATAGTCTTTTAATAAACAGACTTGCTCTTTGTACACATATATGATCTGTCCTATAAATATACAAACTGAACCACTAAGTGTTTCGTTGAAACGGAAAAACTCTGAGTGAATGTGAATAGATTAGTAGATTAGGGAATAATGCGTTAGTGTTTGGAATGATAGTTACTAGGTTCACGTCTCAGAGTAAATATCATTGCCGAGATCAAAGTAAGCCCAGCTGGGAAAAAGAAAACCTCTAACCATCTAACATCTCAAAAAATATCTGCAAAAATTAGTCATTATATAAACAACATGATTATTACATTAATGAAGGAAGATATGTGTTGATTAGAATGATTTTTTTAGTCTAACTCTTCATAATTCAAAGAAATCCATTATAATAACAATATTAAAACGAGACATATAAGCAAACAATCCTAATTTCTATTAGAACTTCATCAGACCTAAAATCAGCCAGTCACTCAACAAAGTAGAACTCCGTACGTACGTACATCAGTTCGACTTGTTATACCACATTAGCACAGAGATACAATTGTCGATTCTACTCCCATAGTCGTAGAGGTAGTGAAAGTAGAAGCAGTGATCAGATACATTCGGGTTTCAAGATCTTATTCAAGGAGTATAATCGAGTGAAATAAATTGGGAAAGAGAAAAAAATGGACATGAAGAATTCAGAAGATTAGAATTTGGGAGAACACAAAGAGTGGACGCACTTGCGCCATTGCAAACGAGTTTAAGCCATGTCATTCACAGTCTCTAACCATCGGTTGCTATCGTCTCGCGGATCCCAACCAGATAGTCTACACCTACCAACATGCCTCAGTCCACTTGTCAGTGACTTCATGGATTTGATTCATGCTTTGATCTGGCCACCCCAATCTTTCTTCCAACCTACTCCTAAAACATAAAACTTCGCTCGTCAGGGCAATTGGTGGTTGGGCATACGTAACACATATCCAGCAGGTTAAATTACGTATGACTAGATTTTAATCTAATTATAATCAAGAAGAGATTGTATTGTAGACTTTTTCATTCTGTACATCTGTATTCTTGATGTCAAAAGACTGAAATTTTTAATTTACATTCATTAAACACTGATCTCACTTGATGTATCATTGAAAATCATAGAGTACTAGACTGTTATTTTGACCTAAGATAGGAGCCATCATTTATGTATATATACAACCTCCTAGGGACCGGACTTAATACATTCAGGTCTCATATTTAACGCTTATACATTAAAACACAGAACTTGCGTCCGATTTTACAACTTCTACCTTGATTAAGATGAGATATGGCGTATCTGATTCTATTGGTGACAACTGTTTCACTGGTGAACATTCTGACTAATGCAAGCCCTTTAGCTAGACTTTTGAATTATTAAGCAAAAATTAATAAAAGTTTTTTTGTGAAATGAAGCAAATTATTGGAATAACTACTAATTACTGTTAATTAGCTACATTTACTATGTACAAATAATGATTTTGAAAAAAATTTTTGTATATAACCTAAATACAGATTAATGATTGTTAGTAGTCGCATCTGATCGTTAAATGGGCTTTAATCAGTTTTATTCTTCATTAGGAATTGTGAATATTTTCTTTCAAATATTAGATTTCATCATGAACATTATTTCGCCAGTAATAGTAGTTTAGTTCGTTATGAGTTATATTTCCAGTTAGAAAATAAGCTACTTACTATTGAAAACTAACAGATATTCATTGCTAACTGGTTTAATATGATACCGTTATTTGTGGAGAAAACAACCTACAGATTAAACCAATTTCTACAAAAATTCTTCAATCAAACTGTAATAATTGACTTAGTAATGACTTACTTCAACATATTCCTAAATTCCTCGTTAGAAATAGTGACTGGTGGAGTTCAGGCATGTCAAGAGTGAAATAGTTTTCACGAGTGGTGTCGGATGATAATTGTGCGTTATTGTAAATTATTTTAAACAAAAAAAACTATACTATTTTAGTTATATATTTTTTCATTGATTAACCATGTGTATTACATAGCTGCGACGTTGTATCACTAAATGAATAAAACTTGGGACGTGGACCATGAAAATCTCAACTCAGTAGATTAAAAGTACCCGTTCTCTAAGAGGCCAAAAAAGCCATGTGTTCAGATCTTCAGCTATTTTATTGTTGCTTACTTCTACTGATGAGCTATAAATGTCGATAAAGCAATTATTCAAACCTCATTAGCTTGCAATATTTCTTAATATGAAATCAACTCATGATTGATACCAGTTCTCTGTTCATTGTGTTGGTTGAATATTTAATGAAAACTTTCGTCAAACTGACTATAATTTTTACTAAAGAGCTACCATCACCTTGAAAAGGGCAGTAGACCAGGAGGCGCTATAAAGTTCTTTCATCCCGATCTAAGAATTCCTCTGTAGTACACACTCTACATCATACAAATAGTTGTTTTCAGAACCTTTCAAGAAATACGCATTATTTGTAAAAAGGAGTCATAAAACATTCATCTTTCGAAAAAAAATAAACAACCGTCACTAACATCTTTCTCGTGTTAACGGTGAGATCAAATGAAGACCGACGCTAGCCGCACCAGCACTTTCTCCCATTAATGTAATTTTTTCAGGATCACCTTGAAACCATTCGATATTTTGTTTAACCCAAGTGATTGCAAGCAACTGATCCCATAGACCATAATTACCGATCGATGCATGATCACCAGTTGCGAGAAAACCTGGTTGAATGAAAAAGTAAGATAGATAGATGGAAAAACAGGTAGATAAACTGATACACAGGGATTTTCGAGTTTTCATATATTTTAAACCAAGAACTGCTGACAACTAGATTATCATTGGAAATCTGGAAGTACTGGACTGCTATTTTATCCTAGGATGGAGCACAGTTCTCCACTACAAGCGATGAATGAGGGCTGTTCAATATCGTGGGTCGGTCTGAGTGAGAGTTGTACACCGGTGGTTGGAGGCTCAGTAGTCTGGAGGTTAAGGGTTCATGCACGATACCGAAGGTTCTGGGTTCGATTCCCGGATGTAGGGCTATCGATGTACATTTTTAAGCAGTCCCATACTAGGATAAAACTTCCATCCAGTGCTATCAGGTTTTCAAAGGCGGCCTAGCTGAGCTCAATTAGTGATTTTCTACTATGAGAATTCTATAATCACCATGACAATTCCTCCATACTAGTTCTGTATATTCACTAGTCCTAATATCCCATGAAGTTAAAAAAACACCAGATATTCTGCATAGTTATTTTCTACCTTGTTATTTTCTGCTTTTATACAAAAACGTATATCATAGTAATAATATTTGTTAAGAAAAATCAAAAGATATTTTTGAATGCCTTACATGATGAATAATACCACCCAGTAATGTATACTTAAGTACACATGTTCAATGTGTTGTGTGACTTCTTCGTGGCGTTAAACAATAAATTTCATTTGTAATAAAATGATTGTTATTTTTTAAAAATGTAACTATGACTACTTACACAATAAAAAACAAACAGTAAAACATATGAATTATCCAACGACTGCATAACATGTATAAACAAGTCGCTCAGTCACTACGTATTAAGACATGTGGCCGAAACCAAACGTTTGTCTGTCCTCTTCTGCTTGTCCTCTTTTCTAAGTGTTACTAAAGCTTTTTTTTCAAATGAAAATCTTTTATGGAAGTTTTGGTCAAGTGAATGACGTTTATGATGTGTAATATGTGTCTCCAGTACATTTATATGTTACATCTTGGTATTGATGTTAAGAAAATGTTTAAAAATATTAGAAAAATGACTAAATAATTGAATTGGACATCTTTTAACCTATTCAATAATATAAGCACACTGATTTTCGTGTTACTGATTGTGCTGACTGATTAGTTTTTCTCTTTTTTTTTTAACAATTTATTGTATTTCTATTCATGTACATTCATGCAAGGATTTAGCATAGTTATTGTATATGTATGTGAATTATAAAGTAGAGAACTGGATTTTACCATTTTTATTTTCTAGATTACATCATATGGACAGGTTGACATGTTTTATCGTCAGATTTCTGTAGAACCTAATAAAGGAATTTACTTGTATATGAATAAGTGGTATAAAAACACACTGCGTGAGTGCAAAATGACATTAATAGAGTTGTATATGATACTTGTTACCAAGTCATGCGTACAACATACAGGTAACTAATGCTTTACGTAGAAAACGATCCACTCTACATTTAACGATGAAAACATCTTATATATATGGCATAAAACTCAGACCATGTATGGTTTCATACCTATAGCCCTCAGTAATCTAACATAGTCATTTATAAGTGTATTTACACGCTAGTGTGATTAGATATAAACTGTGTCACTTAACGTCTTCAAATGTGACGACTATATATAGAATGGGTGGCCATCAATCCTCTACGTTGGTAAAAATATCGAATTTCTGTGGTTGTTTTGTGTTTTCAGATCACTGACCAACCATCAAACTGATTGCCATTGAAGTGAATTCAGGAAAATGGTCCGTGTACATTTTTAGCAAAATATTTGGTATTGAGAAATTATTAGCTAATCGAATATCCGGCGCCCGAGAACTTCTATAAACACTTAGAATAATGAAAACGTACGTGGACCAAGTGCATTGTCAAAAATGAGTGGTATTTTGAAGGCGAAAAAGACCGATATATCGTAAATTTCTTTAAAAAATGTTTCATTATTGCACTTAGCGCAATTATTGCAAAAGCTGTGTATGCGCCTGTATGCATACCTCATGTACATGCTTCCTGTATTATACTGATACTCGTTCATGTATAAAATTGCTATCTTTGTTTATAGCTACAACATAATTTTCATTAGGATAAACAAACGTTTAATAGTTCAGAAGGTAAAGTACTGAACGATACAATTTTAAGCAAAAACGTATTCATACACAGAAAATGCGAGTGCAATAAATTCTCATATGACTATGACATGGAATGAATATTATCAGTACAAGAAGAGTCATGTAGATATGGGTGAATGTTATTGAGATCAAGGACGAGATCAGGTCAGAAAGTCACTTAAACAACAAAAGATGCGGAGAGGAAAGTGAATAAAATCATTAATAAGTTTGGTAAGAAATATTCCGTCTTATACTAACTATATTACGCTCAATGAAAACAGAGATGCATAAATGTTGGAAATTGTACTGAGACATTGTATGTTGGTAATTCTTGAGCTTTTATTTATTTTGTGTTGTAGATCTGCAATCAATGAGACAGTGTTAAACTTTCAAAGAGCTTACTTAACTTATCCATCTAACCACATTAGAGGAAGCAATATTAGGTTTTTCATATCACTCTTCCTGTGTGGTAGTCTCTTTACAAGGATTTGTCAAAGTTAAAAATATACATGATAGTTAATTGATTGTCGATTGTCAAAAGAAAACGATTGTTGACACTTTTCATCGAGAACTATTCTCAAAAAGACTATTGATAGTGTCTCAGATTGAGAAACTGGCTGATCTGGATTACAACCCGACAGGGAGCATAATTAAAAACTCATGATACTGTTCACTATTTGATGATTGATTATTGTACATATGGAAATGGCAATGCTTACGTCGAAAGCATATTACACCTAGTTGTAAAAATGATATGCATAGTCTGAATGCAAGGAATAATTTGTTTAACCCAATAAAATATTAACGGACAGTGTGCTTCCACTTAAAGCTTTGTTTCCGAACTATCAACACGAAGTGTATTCAACCCAGGTACACTTTCATCGTAATGTAATTTATGTTGCTTTTTATAATATATATATTAACCAAGCCCCCTTTTTTGTATGGCATAATAAACGTTTTGTACACAACATTTGTGATTCTTACATATTTACTAAAATTGATCTATATATGTAAGGAATTTCCTTACGTTTTAATACTCTGGTTTATTTTTGACATTTACATTCTTTATCTAATACCACCAGTTATTTTCGATGATCCGTCATGATGAAAATAGAAAAAGTATTAAATGATTCATCAACTTTTCTTTGCCTCTATTCGTCCCAAACCGTTTTCACTTTGGATACTATTAAACTCCAGGAAACATTGAAAAATGTTTCTTATTAGTACGGGACTTTCCAATGAAGATGTACATCACCATATCAGGGATTGAAGGCAGGAACTAAGGGCTGAACATTGTCAGCGGGGATTTTCTACTGGTATGAAACGGATTTTAGTGAAACCGAGGCCAAGGTCAATCTATGGTGAATGCAAACTACGCACTAAACCAAGCACCACAAAACCCTTTCGACTGAAAATTGTTAACTGAATTATTTTCAAAACTCGAGGTGAAACAAGCAAAACGCAAACTTACCAAACGGTCCTAAACGATAATTGAATGTTACTACAACTAAACCCTTGGAAGCCAATGCTAAACCAGGATACATATGACTAGAACCATAAACATAACTTCCACCATGAATATGTACAATCACAGGATAACGGGTATTAGAAGCATCCAATGTATTCTACAGTAATGTTTTTTAATAAAAAGAATAACAATCGGTAAATCTGAATTTTTAAGACAAAATTTCAAACATCAAGAGAGTTTTCAATTTCTCTTAATTGATACTAAGGGCTATAAAAAGTGAGTTTTGTTGTTATAAAGCAGCTTGAATGAATTGTATTGATATAGACCACTTGTGTAGAAGGGATTCTCACAGGTCATGAACATGGCAGGTCTTTTGCAGTCACAAATATCAACGACTGAAAATTGTAAACCCTAAAGAATAGCTATACATCCGTTGAGAAAGCCCGTACTTACACCGACTTATTGGATCATTAAATAACGTATCATGCGCCTGAGGCAATAGATAGCCAGGCTCAAGTTTTGGTGTGCATATCAAAGTTAGAATTCAAATACATTTAACTGACTAGTCCTAATCAAGAAGAAACGAGCACCATGAAATCTAACATTAGCTTTAGAACAGAATATGCTAAAATTTCAATAAAATTTTATGTAGATATATACCTAACTCTTGTTAGGCTTCGTAAAATTAGCCCCCAAATGTCCTGGTACGGCCGAGAGTGGGGAGAGTCCGCTCTCCCTCTCGAAATACTCTCACACGGCCACGCGTATACACCCTCTGCCAGGGGAGTCCTACTCATTGCCTTCTCGTGGAGGGGGTGTTGTTTACGAAAATGAGAAGACGAAAAGCGAATGTCCGTCGCTTTAACCGGATCCCAAACCAATGGTGCACATGGGCTCCAGTATCCTGAGGGAACAAATGGCGTATGAACCAATCATTGGTCACCAGCTGCCATGGGACTGCATCTCCTTACGATGTTCCACTGCCTTGTGGGTTAGACCTTTAGGTCAAAGGCTCGGGGTGTGGCCCCCTAAGATAACCACTTGCTTCGGTCTGGGCACCCGGGCAGTATCGCAACCCACACGCAAATGATAAACTCTCTATATCTATGGAAACTACTTTTCTCGCTTCGAATAACAATCAAATGATTCAAATGATTATTATTACTATTATTATTATTATTATTATTATTATTATTATTATTATTATTATTATTATTATTATTATTATTATTATTTTCCACATTATTCACCCTCTTTTATACTTATACAGCGGCTCGACTTTGGTGGAAATCCGACTGTATCTAAACGTTCTCGAGTCACTGTCCGGTTGAAAATTGTATGCTACCATTAAACACGAATACTGAAGCAGTTTTTCTGAAACCACGTGCACCATTCAAACTGGCTGCCTTCAACGTTCGCACACTTATGCAGGTCGGACAACAGATAGGGCTGGCTATATCATTGGAAAGTCTTAATATCGACGTTTGTTGTCTATCCGAGACCCGTATTCAAGACTCTGGTGAAGTACTACAAATTCGCTCTCCATCTGTCGCTTCAAAAGGCTTGTTTTACGTGCGTTTATCCGGGGACCCTGTGGCACCCTCGTCTGGTTTTGCTGGCGTTGGTCTCGCACTAAGCGCTAGAGCTGAGGCAGTTCTAATCGATTGGATCCCCATTGACAGTCAGTTATGTGCTGTTAGAATAGAAAGTTACATCAAAATGAGAAGAAATCGGCGTGAGAAACGATGTCTTCTCGTCATCTCCGCCTATGCTCCGACAGATTGCAGCCCGGACGCAATCAAGGATGAGTTTTACCACCAGTTATCTGTTCTTCTCCAGAAAGTGCGTTCGACAGATATTGTAGTACTAGCCGGAGACTTGAATGCTCAGGTCGGGCGTCTAGGCACAGAAGAGAGTCGTTTAGGTGGCCGATGGGGACTCGTTGGTCGCAGGTCAGATAACGGGGACCGTCTACTGCAACTTTGCACAGACCACAACTTGTTTCTGGCCAGCACTAACTTTCGGCACAGTCATCGCCGATGTGCCACCTGGCGTCCTCCCTCTGCATCTCAAGCCTGGACTCAGATTGATCACATCGCGATCAGCTACCGCTGGCGTGGTTGTGTACAAGACTGCCGCTCCTTTTGGAGTACTTATCTGGACTCTGACCATGCTTTGGTCTGCGCCAATCTTACCTTACTTTTCAGTGGCCAACGAAGTGACCGCCACCAACGGATTGATGTTAGCAAGCTGGTTGCAACTTCTGTTGCAAATAAGTATCGAATCGAGCTAGTTTCTAGGCTAGCTACCATTCCACCGAAAAGTATAGATGAACATTGGTTGCAATTGCATGACGCCATGAACGTGGCGGGAACAGTCAGTTGTGGGTTCGCGAAACATCCCGCTTATAAGCACTGGGTTTCTTCTGATTTCTTACAACTCATTAAGACCCGTCGGTCTACTCAGGGTGATCGTGAGTTTAACCACAAACGAAGGATGTTACGTAATGAAATTGGACAAAGCTTGCGTAAGGACCGAGAAGCCTGGTGGTCGGATCGTGCTAATGAGTTGGAAGCAGCAGCTGCATCTGGTAACTACCGGAAGCTCTTCCAGCTCATCCGAGCCACTGGCAGCAAGAAGTCTGGTGAGAGCGAAACGATATGCGAGAATGACGGAACGCCAATCACTAACATCCATCGACGTCTTGGACGATGGGCAGAATTTTTCGAAGGGCAGTTCAAGTGGCCTGCTGCTCCGGCAACATCGGTCAGACTGTCCTGCCCTCCATGGCCGGTGACGACTGATCCACCAAACGAGGAGGAAGTCCGCAAGGAACTCCAACTCTTGAAGCGTTACAAATCACCTGGCCCAGATGACTTACCTCCGGCCCTTTTTAAAGATGGTGGTGACTTTCTGACTAAGGAACTGATGGCGTTGTTTACAAAGGTCTGGGAGTTAGAGAGTGTACCAACGTCATGGAATGAGTCGATAATTGTCGCCATCTTTAAAAAAGGTTCACTTCGTTCCTGTAACAACTATCGGGGGATAAGTCTACTTCCGATTGCGTCCAAGCTATTGGCTTCCGCCACACTTCGTAGGTTGTTCAAAACCCGAGAAAGATTGACTCGCGAGGAGCAGGCTGGTTTTCGTTCTGATCGAGGATGTATTGATCACATCTTCACCCTCCGCCAAATGTTAGAACACCGTCATACTTATCAACGGCCAACAATCGTAGTGTTTCTTGACATCAGGGCTGCCTTCGATTCGTTGGACAGGACTGTTTTCTGGGATTGTCTATTGAAGAAGGGTGTGATCGAGAAGTTTATTAACGTCATAAAGGCCCTATATACAAACACCTCAAGCACAGTGAGGCCATACAACCACCTTTCTCCATTGTTCCATTCGAGCAGTGGGGTTAGGCAGGGTTGTTCATTCCCACCATCCCTCTTCAACTTTGCCATCGATGACATTCTGGAAACAACCCTGGTGGATGTAAGTAATGGCGGTGCGGATCTGTTGCCTGGAGAAAGACTTCTCGACCTTGAGTATGCGGATGATATTGTCTTACTGTGCGATAATGACCAAGTCATGCAATCCGCACTTAATTAGTTGGCAATCAGTGTCCGTAGGTATGGTATGTGCTTTGCACCTTCGAAGTGCAAAGTACTTCTACAAGACTGGCAAGATTCTAATCCTGTACTCACCCTGGATGGTGAGCAGATAGAAGTAGTCGAGAAGTTCATGTATCTAGGTAGCTGCATAAATGCTGATGGTGGCGTGAGTGATGAGATCAATGCACGTATAGTGAAAGCCAGAACGGCTTATGCCAATCTGGGCCATCTTTGGCGCCTTCGTGATGTTAGTCTGGCTGTAAAAGGCCGGATCTACAACGCGTCGGTGAGAGCAGTTCTGCTCTATGCTTATGAAACCTGGCCTATCCGAGTTGAGGATGTTAGAAGACTCTCTGTGTTCGATCATCATTGTCTCCGAAGGATTGCTGACATCCAGTGGCGACGCCATGTTAGTAATGCAGAGGTTCGGCATCGTGTATTCGGGCACAGAGATGATAATCCAATCCGTGTCACCATCTTGAAACATCGACTTCGGTGGCTTGGACATGTTCTTAGAATGTCGTCCCAGAGAATTCCACGCCGTGCATTATTTGCCGACTCTGTGACTAGTTGGAAGAAGCGGAGAGGTGGTCAGTGCATGACATGGTGTCGTGTTATGGAAGAAAGCTGCAAAGAACTGGCTTCTGTTGGTCCTTCATGACTCCCTGGTTGGGGTCCGAGAGATGGTGCTACACAGTGGCTAGAGACGTTATGAGATATGGCTCAGAATAGAAGCCAGTGGCGATCCTGCCGTAACCTTCTTTTACTTTCTTCATAAAAGGTGGTTGTATCTTCCTTAACTGAAAGATTTCTTCTGGTTGTACCTTTCCGTTTCCTCATTATTACTATTACTATTACTACACTACCTTACACCAACCTCTTCGTTATTGTTTTCTTTTTTTTCACGCTCCTTTATTTTCTCTTCGAATTCTTATTGTTTTGTGTGGCGCATATATATTAGCGCTCTCTTGTACCAATATTTATGTGTTCAAATAAATAAATAATCAAATCTCTCATTTAAAAATAAATCAACCGTTTCTCAGTCAGAAGAACTAGAACATATGTGTATAAAGTAGGAGGATAAAATAACTGTTATAATTAAAATTAAATCATAAGTATTCAAGGCATTTTTGCATCTGTGTGTAGGGTTTAGAAAAAGATTTATCGTAAAGATAACCAGGTTAATGAAATGTTAGTTCAGCTGCCTGAATTATTCTATACAAAGAATTCATCAAATTAATTTAGTAGTTTAGTTAACATATCATAAAGACTATTTAACGTTGTAAGTAGTTTTTGTCACATGTTACCATTATTGGCTATGAATCAGAGTTACCTTAAACCAGGGAGTAATGAGGAGAGATTTTTTCTATTGTGATACTCCTCAGTAATGCTCACTCATAATTTAATTTTAGATGGTACGCAAGATTTCAAATCTCTCATCAAATGCGCAAACTTCAGAACCACTGAGTAGACATTCGATGACATACCTCTCCAAGTCCAACCGATTTCGTGATATATGTCGAGATATCACTAAGGGCCATTGCTTAACCCTCATTACGAATGAAATTCCTTTCAGTAACTAGGCTTTTCTTAGCTATGCTACTTTTATATCCATGACTGTTAGAATTATATTCTTCATGAGATATAAGGTTAGAAACTAAGATAATATGCATGTTTTTATTATTTGAATGTACCCTGTATAAAATAGGAGTGATATGTTTTGCCTTCTATCAAAAATTGGATATTTGAGGTGCTAAGTAAAAGGATCAATTTGCTTAATATGACATCTGTAAATAAACATTGATCTTGTAAATTTGTTGAATTGATGTGCTATTCATTTTTACTTCAGCATTTCCTAACAGACCGAAAGAGCCCTAAAAACGATGAATCACAAAGGTTCCTATATGATTAAACCATGGAAGCAACTGCCCGTTAAGCAGTCAAGGTACCACATAAATTTAAAAGTACCCGGGTGATCAATCTTGATCACAAAATGTTTTCCGGTCCAGCTTTTACAGCGTTAAGTATTCCAATTTCCTTGATATACTTATAGGGGCATTATTAAAGCGACAAGAAGTCAACTGTTTGGTATTTCCGTACGTTTTGTCTTTTATATTTCTTGTGTTATTTTCAACTTTTTACGTGCAACATAGAAATATTACGAAACATTAAGTTAAAATATTTAATGAAGCACCGAACTTAAAGACAATGTCTATAACAACAGCTAAATAAATGAAGTTACAAGATTGTGTGATGAAGTTTTTCTAACTTTTTATTGAGGTGCAGTTTTTGGAAATCGTGGAAGCTTTCAGAACAGAAAATTGTAGTAAAGTGAATCAGTGTTATTTAAAAATGAATCAGTTGAGAGGATATTAAAAAGAAACAGGCTACTTGTTATTAGGGTGAAACCAACTTTAGCAATCACTTATTAGTGATATTAGCACACTACAGAGAGACAACGTTTACTGTAAAATGATACACGTTAAATTAAGTCCTGGGTACTGATTCACCGTTTTGCATCACATTTCGGATCAAATTAGAACTCTTTAAGCATAAATTCCGTCCTGTAAACCATAATCTTATATACATAGCCTTGAGATGAATGAGTAAAGTAAACCGAAACACAAATATTAATAATAGAACTATGAGACATATTTTAGATTTCCAGTCAACACCGTGAGCATTTAAGCTAAAACAAATTCCTGAAAACTCATAAATAATGGAGTTTAGTGTGTTTTTCCTAAAGCACCAAGAGCAGAAGTGCAGTTAAAACTACTAGGTTTGCAATAATTCACCTAATTAATGACATAAAATCCTCTTAATACTCTTTTTGGATAAACAAGAGCAAATAATAAGCATGTAACGATTCTTAGAGCTACATTAGATGTTTAGACGTATGTCAGTTTAACACATCTCAAAAACTCTAATATCCGTACATTATATCTTGATCATTATTTAAGATCTCTTCACAAATGACGTTCATAACTGGTCGGTTGGCTAGCTAAAATACTCTCCAATATAATAAATACAGTATGACACTTTTGAAGTTATAGTATTTAAAAGTTTTCATGAGAATCATAATGTGTCCTGTTTATAAACAAGATACATGAAAACATGATTAGTTCAAAAAATAATGGATGATGATACGAACTTACATTTGGATAATAAATGTTCAGATACAAACAGTCTTCACTTATATCTGTAAAGCCTGGTATAAATCGGCTAAGCCAGATGTATGGTTGCATACACGCTGATCTAAAGCGTTTTGCAAACCAAGGAAATCGGGTATCTAAGTAAGCAGGAACGGGAAACTGTATTCAAATAGAATGAACATCAGAACACACAAACCCTGAACCTTCTTCCATCGGTTGGGGGTGCTGCATATGGTATTCCGAGAAACGCATTGATCAATCGACCACTTGTTGGTTGCCACCTTGACCAGGTATGGCCATAATTTATCGTAGTAGAAAAACCAATAAACTTTCCCATCCCGGCCCTTGGTATGCATTTTACAGAAAACATGTGCTGAAACAAACCTTGGTATGTCCACAACAACATCGTTTGGCATCGGAACGTATTGATTGACTTCAGGAATATGAGTAAACCGTTGGTTTGGCAGTGGAGTAAATACAGGAAGTTTGAATGGATTTATGTAGGATTCGAAGTTCCACCAATTTTGAGTACTGGCAAGTTCAATTAATAACAGACATATAGTCAGTCTAGAAACTTTATATGTTCCAAAATATACAACCATCGTTATCATATACTATTTTTCATAGTTGAGCTAAAATCATGACCTTGCAAAATCTTTGCTGTAGTACAAGCCAACAAACAAATTAGAAACTGTGACTGGAAAACTTGCTGGTATAGTCATGATTTAAAAAGTTTGAAGAGATAAATAAATCTCTAAAATAAATATTTTTGTCAGTCTTCAATATTTTATGCTGGCCTCAGTTTCACTGGACTAGCTAAATGCGCTCGGTCATGCATCCACACTATTTCACGAGCTGGTACGCCGCACTACGCATCTTCCACAGCTGCTACCTAGTTTAGATCAAACGCTTCTCGAGATATAGATAGCCTCCAAATATAACTTCGCACCTCTTCATTTGTGACTCCTGATTTGACTGGGTTGGCATACTTCGATTACAATGGTGTATTAGTAAAGGCGTTGTCAAACTATGAATACCCATGACATCTTTAGTGGTGGGGTCGATGTTTCCTGACACATCAATCCACAAACTGTGAATCTGTTCATTTTTATATATACCTAATGTAATTTTGTTTTCATATTCTCCCGCCCATTGAAATTTTATATCTTTATCATAATGTGACAAACCATCAAACTGCTGAGGATCAAAGCTCTCTCACCACCCAACATTTAGATAATTCCATATTGGCCCGAAAACATAGAAGCCCGGTTCTTTTACGAAGAGGCTAACTTCTATAAATTACAGAAAACTTTGAAATTTCCCGATCTCAAAGTCGTCCGACACTGAAATCTCTTCTTGCCTCCACCGAAACGCGTTATTGGCAACTTGAGTTGGCGAACAAGGGCATTTGTTGTACAGCACTGATTAGGTGACGGAAGTTCGCTTTCTCATGAAAACTGGTGCAGAAGTTGGCGTTCACTATTCGGCAGCTACTTTAAAAAGCAAAAGCACATTTTTAAAAAATCGCTTTGATTTAAGCTGGTAATCAGATTCTTATGGCTGTTGACGGCATCCCTAAAGCCGTTATTATTACCAACTTTGAACTCCACAAATTTTTGCGTGTGCTTTTTGGCTTTAAAATGCTGCACAAAATTTTAAGGGATTCATTGATGCTGTCTTTCGAGGTACCAACTTCATACACGCATATGTAGATGACTGCTTGATCACAAGCTCTCACAGAGAATGTCCTCTCCAGCATGTGATCCTTGTTTTCGAACGACTTCAAAAGAACGGCATTAATGTAAGCATTCAGAAATATCGAATCTGAACCGACTCCCTAGTTCTTACGGAACACACTATTGAAGCTAATGGCATAAGCATCCTGAAAAGCAAAGTGGTGACCATTATGGATTACCCAGAAATAACCGTAGTCAAGCGGTTATTTACGTTCAGCGGCCTGGTAAGTTTCTATCTATGGTTCACACCGAATTGTGTGTCCCTCATGAGACCCTCAACTAACCAACTTCGTGTAAATGCGAAAGTCACCACTTTGGACGACAACACAAACAAAGCATCCTCCACAATTAAGGAACTTGTCACAAAAGCAACCATGCTCACACACCAGAACATAAAAGCACCCATTAATATCACAATAGACGCACGCAACTCGGCAAAAGAAGTCTTACAACAATGGACAAACAATTGTATTCAGTCTTTGACATTTTTCCTGTAACGGTTGTAAGACACTAAATCGGGGTATAACACTTTCGGCAAGGAACACCTAGCCATATATTGTGCTGTACGGCACTTTTAACAATGTGGAAAACCGAGAATCAACTCTGTTTACCGACTACAAACCTCTCACATTCTCTCCTAGCTTGTCTTCAGATAAGTACTCCCACGGAGAGTCTCGACAACTGGACCACTTTTCCCAGTTTACTTCAGACGTACGACACACTTCTGGGGCAAACAATGTAGTGGCAGGCGCCTTGTCTCGTACAGCTTCATTGAACAATTTGCAAGGAATCGAGCTTCCTAAACTTTTTGTGAAATGTGATCGATAGACGAACCCACCAATAATAAAGTGAAACGCCCACCACCACATTAACTCCCTTTGACCTCGTGTGACTGTATCTCTTTATTAACCAATCGCATTTTGATGTTCATTGTATAACAATATTCGCTTTATTGACTCATTTTTCCTATTCTCTGGCTACTGTTCGGTATGTTATTTATCTCTGTTTTTCCCTGTATTAATGGACCGTACTGTTTGTTTGTACACTAACGATGTTAATTTATGTTTTAGAAACAGATAACGTTTATCTAGCCAAATCGCTTGCTTGTTCTGACTTTGGCCAAACCAAGACTCTGTATTCGACGGTCTAGGGAATAGCTCAGAATTAAACCTGTAGGAAATTGCTTCCTACAAAGTTTCAAACAATAGATTCGATATACTTATTGAAATGACTTCCAATAAATACTACGATTCCGATGAGATTCCAGAGTTATCACCCCATCATTCGGAAGTCTATGACGAGGATAAACTTGAAAAGGACGAACTCGAAAGCAATAGCATGACAGAACTACAGTTAGCTAGGTTGCGCATAACCCAGTTAGACAAGGAAATTGAACTAGAAAATTTACGCTGACAGAGATGTGAAGGTTCCGGCCAATCAGTAAGCAACAGTGAGAATACAATATTCAAAAAATCTGTATTTACTAAAAAGAAAAGTCGTAAGGTTTGATGGTACACCGACAAATTATTGGAACTTCATTAGAAATTTCGAAGAATGCATTGGGAGTGAGAATACTGGATTTAGAGCTAAGCTAAATTACTTGATTTAATATTGTGACGGAGAAGCGAAAGCCTCTATCCTTCATTGTACTATACTAGAACCAGTAGGAAATTGCTTCCTACACTTGTAGTGTCGGTTACCATGTAAATCCTACACAATTTATTCTAGCTTCTCGAGAGGCCATTTTATCCATTCTTCCTGAGTCACATTTTGACATAAATAATTATTCATTTATCAGCCCTAACTGCTTCTATATGAGCGTATATGTGAGTATATCTTATCTTACTCATCACATGTCTTAAGCTTATTTTTGTGTGACTATAGATATTGATTAACGCTTGATTAAAAACGGAGTTGACTTACATGTCTTCTCCACGGCACGACACTTCGAGTCGCTCCACTCTTTCTTTTTCCTCTACTGCGCAATGCCTCTCTGGTTATCTATTCCAACCAACAAGCGTTCAAAATATGCGTGTTAAAAAATCCGTTATCGCATTTAACTTCTTCAATTCCGTTATTTACTAACGCGATATAAATCGATAAATATATGCGACGATTGACGATACTTATATTTCAATAACAATCAGTCATACGATTCGGCTGCAATTAAACGCAACTCAATTTCGTAAATGTGCCCTTCAGCTTAGCCAGCAATCAGAATGGGGCGGGAATTATTATATCCGTCATCTTTGTAAGCAATAGCGGTCGGCTTTCTTCGTTCTGTGCTTCTTTCAGCTATATCTTTTGTGTAGCTATGTAATTTAATGTTTCAGTGTGCTAAAATGCCGCAGTTAGTGTAATGTTCTATATGTTGGTGTGAAATTTACTTCGAATCAGCATTGCTATTTGGGTTTTTGCTGCTTCTTCTCAAGTCAATGTATTTCTTCAGCCAAGCTGGCTAGTCTTATGTTTTAAAATGGTAATCGGTTTTGTATTGACTTGTTTTCTAGATACCCAAAGCTGAAGTTCGTTTTTTAGCTAAAATAACTGTTGCTGCCGCCTGTGACTCTAACTGTTCGCCTGTTCGTTCATAACTATGCTTTATGATGTTATCGGCAAAATGAAAGGAAACAGTCTGCGTTTTTTAATTTTCTTCAGTATTATGGACAACACTATCCCGCCAACGAGTCAAACTAATACTGATTGCCCAGCAGTAGTTGATATCAGTATTGTTTTCGAAAGGACCCAGACTTCCGACAACCATAGATGAAGTCACAGATACTACCAATCTATTGCAGAGGGTTTGTTATAAAAAATGTCATATAGCAGTAATAGAGGGGTTGTACTCGTTACATAGTGCGTTAGAGCAAGCTTAACATTGAGAAGCCGGAAATCTGCTATCAGTGTGTAGTATATGTTTGCTGTTTTGGCCATAAAAGGAATCCGAAAGGTCATGGTCAGGGAGTAAAAAGGTAATTAACTGTTATTAAGCTCACTTTTTTATAGATCATATTTCACCACTCGCAAATATGCGTTTTCTTACGGTATGATGTCAACTGGTACCTAATATGTTCACCCTCACGATGAAAAGTACCTGCGAATTTTCACCTTTATATTCGAATTATTTTTGGACAAGTCTTCCAGTTTGAGTGCTTCGTACACCCTGGTTGAATAGATTCCTACATTATTCATAGTCCCAATATAATTTTCTCACGCAGTAAGTTCAAGTTAGACACTAGTCTTTCTAAAGAAGCTAATATCCGTATTGTCTATTTCAGTTAATCGATGAAGACATGTACCACGAGGATCTGCTGTATACTGCCATTTTGCTCCAATTCTAACTGTTATATCTTCTGAAAAATGAAATTGCTATATGCGGCAAATACAAACTTATTTGTTTTGATGGAGGTAGGGGGGTTCATGGGGTTTTTAGCAGGACTGTAGTAATATTCTCACTAAAGAGCTAAGTGAGTGCGTAGACCAATGTAAGGTACCATACAGGGTGCCTTTGAGTTACTAGTGTTCCATTAGTGCGGGTAGGGGCATTGCTTGCTTGTCATATGGCATTTGAATTAGAAGATATAAGATAAGAAGCAGGTACGGTTAGGATATGTAACGCGTGTCCATCCATCAGCTGGCGTGACAACCCATGGTGATTAGAATAAGTTGTGAAAGGACCCGAGTCTGTAGGTTTCCCAAGAAAATGACGAAGATATGCACCAAATCACCTTATGAAGAGCGCCTCCAATCACTTAACCTCTACTCATTAGAGTATAGACGTCTTAGAGGTGACCTTCTAATGTCTTACACTTCTGGACATTCTCTTTAACACCTACTTAAGCTTAGTCTCAACACTAACCTAAGGGGCAACACACGGAAACTAGAGACACAACATAGCAGGACGG